CTTATAATTTATTCTTATTTTATAGCCTATTTATCATATTTTGTAAAAATTTGTTGTTATAATATTCTAATGTTCTAATGATTATAATTTTATAATCGTTATTACATTTGACCTAAGTAATTTTCCATAATATATGATTTAATATTAATTTTAAAAAGTTTTGTCTATTACTAATCGTTGCACTTCGTTAGGATTGGGTTGAATTGATGGAATAAGGTAACGCAATATTCGAGTGATTGCCAAGGGGCGATCTGTGATGCTTCTCCGGAGGACTTTCTATGGGAAACTGACCCCTATTCAGGTATTGGACATATGAAGCAAGCCCTGTAAACTTTACCTGATTATCCATTGATAAGACACAAACTCCCCAGTTGGTGGGTTTATACTTCATTGTGTTGATCTGAAATGACATGTCGGCGACGTTGAGACTAATGATAGTTTTTGCAAATAGTATTGAAAGGAAAATGAGTATGGCAAGCGAATAATTTGTAGTTTTACTGATCAAGAAAATATAGTATTTTTGTAAATCAAACCCGATAAAATAGTTCATAATGCGCAAAAGTACCAAAAAACGAGTCAGGGAAAGAATCAGTCGTTTCTTTCCTTCGAACTTAGTTGGAATTTTATCACCCAATTCGTCACTAAAAATAAGTTAAACGTAGACCTTATGTTGTTATTATTACGTAAATTATAATATGAAGATCAATCTATGTAAAAAATCAATTGATAAAGCATCGCACGAATTAACATCAATTAATATAGCTAAGCACATTCTTGAATATAAAATTATGGTTATTGGAAGAAGAGTTTTTCATTTAGAAACAATAAGAAAATGTACACCTAAAGATAAAGATAAAAACCAAAAATGCAAGAGAGAAAAAGAAACATTGATAAGTTTGTAAAGAAAGCGGCTCGATAAAAGAGAAAACGAATAGAAATAATACCAGAAAAAGAAACTAAAAAGGAGCCCGATAGCTATTTATCACCAGGTTATATTATGAAGGCAGATCTCGTTTCCTCTTTATTTGTGAAGATAAGATAGGATAAAATAATTTGTACAAAATAGACGCAGATAAAAATTCCATCCGTGTCTATTTCGTAAATAGCTTTTATGTTCTTTACTAGCCAATTCATATTAAAATACTAAATCAAAAGTTGTTATCAATATTGTTTTCCCTTATTCTAAAATTTAAAAAAATATTTTAAGTTTACATTATTCCGTGGTTCTGTGAGCTAATGATCCTGAATGTCGACTATATTTACTAGAACAAAATATCGTAGATATAGATAATTCAGTTGAAACTGGAAATTTACGACTAAGCTTAATCTTTATTGACATTAACCTGTTGATTCTTATTTATTAATATTACTTGTTGATATTTATTTCAGATAAGTTACTGCAATGTAGCCTATATGTAAACGGTAATATATTACAATTTTTAATTTCATTTTATGATGTAATTTCTGGTAAATATATATTTTTTTGTTTTTGTATTATATAGATGGCGATGATTGTCTACTTTTTTCAACAGAAAGAAAAATGTTCAGCTAAACAAATTTGTGTGTTATAAATAAAACTGCTGCATTTGCTAATTTATTTTATTTTTGTTTTTATCTTCCTAATCTACAGCTCTTTAATTAAGCAAACTTAACCTAAAATTAAAAAGAAAATATCCAATTAAATTATCTTTCAACATTCTCTACATGAATGATGAATATTTTTACTTGTAGCCTATATGTGTAATATAATATACATTTTTTTAATTCTTTCCTTTCTGTGGTCATTACGAGGGTCAATTTTTCAGCCCCATCATCAGTCTTGCAAGGCTCACAATGTAACGGTCGGCTAGTGAGGGATGTGGCTCGACGCATCCGGAATATTCCACCCATAAAAATTACCCGAAGTTGCTGATCGAACGGAGGCCTCCAGAGCGGAAGGCTGACGCCCATACCACTTCGGTTATCCGACCGTCGATATATGATTGGGCTATAATTTGAAAAATTGCAGACATAAATTCCCACTGTTATCTGTCCGTCCGTCTGTTTGTCTTTCCTTAATCTCGAGAACGAAATTAGATAGATCAAAAATGAAACCAGACAGGAAAGCTTAGTGGCAGGAGGTCCCCATTAACTATATATGATCTTCTGATACAAACTGGACGTCACGTTATTTCAATTCAAAACGTTTTCACTGAAAACAGTTAATAGATGATCGGCGCGACTCTATTGTTAAAGGAAAAATATGATGTACAGTACAGGGGCAAGACACTAATAATTTGAGATGGAGAACATATATTTTAAATTAGAAATATGATTAAAAGTTGCAGCCCGGCGTTGTCACGATGTCACAATAAAATAACTGTATTGAAATTAAATACATAATTATTTAAAGTCTGATAATGAAGCTAAATGTTTATAATATAAATACAGTACTATATTTTAGTTTCAATAAAATTCTGTTCCTATTAACTTTAATTTTAACGTGTTTATGCAATAATTCCGTGACATTTTAAATAAAATCTGAAACCAACGAAGGAACAAAAAGAAAATGAATATGTAAAGAATATGAAAAAAATTATATGTATTATATAGGCTACTAACAAAACAACACAATTGCATTCTTAAATGCTTGCATAGTATATAAGAATGCAATTGTGTTATTTTGTTAATATATAATTTTGTTTTGAATAATTACAGAAATTACGTTCTTATAAATTATTAAAATATTTTGCCTTTTCAGAAAATATTTTAATAAGTTTAAAAAGTTATACTTTTTTAATTCCCATAAAAAAATGGTTACTTTAAATGTCTTCAAACATATCAAAATCGTAACGATAAAAATTACATTTTTTGCCATCTGATGTGTTAATAACAGATTTTTAAATATTCTTAAGAACAGAAAAAGGAAAATAGGGGAAAGTGGTGCAAGATGGGGCCATGGTGTAAGACGGGAACGTCTGTTTATTCGTGGTTAACGTGCTTTCATCTACCTGTTATTTGAAGAACTAAATGTCAACCTCAAAAGGAATCACGGAATGAGAGAACGTACGAATCGATCTCTTTGTTTGGAAGTAAGACAGTTTTCCACGTTTCAGCAATACTTCATCTAATTTTACGCCCGCTACAAAGTTTCTACAAACTAAGCATCATTGTAAACTTTTACATTACCTTTTAGATGAAAATATAATGGTATTCGAACTAACCTTTAAGACTGTAATTGTTTAGTTTTGAAATAAAGTTGACCCGTGTTTGCAGCCAGCATGAAAAGTGCACGTTGGGGCAAGATGGTGGGGGCAAGACGGGGTACCCCATCTTGTCCCCACCATTTGCCCCAACATTGCACTTTGCACGGGTTGTCCACGAATATGGCCAACGAATCCAGAAATATTTTCGGAGGCAGACTTTATTGCTGCAGAGACGACAAACAGCCCCGTCAGCAGCAGGACACACAGGATGCTCGTTTTGGGACAACCAAAACCATGAAGGCGGAGGTATGCCTAATCTGGGTACAGAAACGGTCACTGATTACACCACTAAAAGTACGCCTACTCATTCAGTTTTTACTCAAGTGTCTCCCATAGAAATGATGCTAATTTCACATGTTGGAACCAAGAAAAAAATCGAAAATAGCAGAAGGAGAGGGAAAACAGCAATCCTAACAGATACACTGTACAAGCAGCAGCTGATGGAACAACAAAAACAATCAACAGCAGTTTCGGCACCCCCAGGAAAGTGGTCTTTCTTTACCGAAAGAAATTCCATAAAATCAAAAGTTACAGGCATCAGCAAGGGTAGGCCTAACAAGAAACAAAAGACAAATGACACAGAATGCCTCTATTATGGAAGGTTATACTCTATCTACAGAGAGTTGGGCTAAATGTAGCCGTTGTGATAAATGGGCACACTATTCTTGTGCCAATATTGATTAAAACGACAGTTTAACCATTTTAATTTGTCCTTCTCGTATATAAAAATAATATCCCCATCTTACCACATGGGTAAGGCAAGATGGTGCATTTACATGTAATTTTAAAATATTAAATTTTCTTGTTTTTAAAAACGTTTTTCAAAAATTAAATTTTGTATTATATATTAGCAAATGTTGTAATTGCTGAAAATAAAAAAAAATTATCGTTCTCATCAAAGTGGTTTTCATCTTATGAATTTTCAAACCTTAACGTTCTCATCTTGCCCCACCTTCCCCTACTACATATTTAATACAATGCAAAGGTTTCCTAAAATGGCAACTTTTCTGATCAATAGAAAAATGTGGAAAGAAGCTATTAACGGGAAAATTTTGTGTGGAATTCTGCATTCATGAAAGGAAAATTGAGGAATATATAATCGTTATATATATAATAAATATATAAACATTACTTAGGAGGAATATATAAACAGTATTTAATGATAATTTAACTTTTTATTATTAAAAAATTGATTGTTTGTGAACTTTGTTATTATATTCCATTTATTATTAGTTTACCCAGATGGATAAAAAATTTAATTAAATTAAAAACATGAAATTCTATTTAAAAATAAATGGCATAATAGCATCCTTGAAACTAAAGAAATAAAACAATAAGAAATGTAATTAAATTGACTTTGCGGTTTAATCTCTGATATTTCTTTGTTTTGCTCATTTATTACGAGTACATGCAATAATTAAATAATTATGTAAAATTATAAACAGTCAAGAATATATCTTCAAAGTGTCATATCTCAGACTCTTCGTTGGGACAAAACAGTTGAAATTTAAGAAGTTTTATATTGGTGGAGTATATTTAAAAGCATGCAATGCATTTAAATAAATAGCGAGGTTGCGGCCGGAGTTTTCATCTCTTAATTAAACGTGAACGTCGAACGTCGAGCGCCGCCATCTTGTAAGCGGCTCTCGATGTGAAAACTTCGCATATAGTGTATACTATCTACCGTATAAATGCTGAACATTTAAATGGCTTGTATATAAATATGTATTTTATTTAAAAAAATAAAATACTTACAATGCATTTTCTTGTCCATTTTAACAGTTTAAATTAGATGATGAATTTTCACTGTTATAAAAAAAAAAAAACTCTAAAGCAGACGATTACGAACTTTAATTTCTATCCATGGCGCCCCCTACTTTATCCGAAGCGACATAAAAACGTAATTTAAGTTTCACTAAAATAAAATTTTCGAAATATTTTTAATATAAAATGTGTTTAAATTTATACATATTTAAGCATAATTTTATTTTTTATTTTTTATTTTATTTTTCGCCGTATTAAATTTCTTAATTCGGATATTATGTTAAAAGCGTCTATAAAAATTCAAATTCAATTTTTATAAGTTAACCTAGACGAGTGATTTAGATTAATTTTAAATTAAAAATTAAAAAAATTAAAATAAATAAGTATATAAAAAAATATCCGCCAAATCGTATACTCGCTAAGCGTGCAAATTTTTTAAGTTTCTGTTACCCACTTGACTATTACCCATTGTGAACCCATTGTTGTCGTGTACCCATTCGATCTTACTTGTACACTTTCCCCAACTAACACACATAATAGAAACGATCTGTATCACGTGATAAACACTGATTTGATCTTACAGATCGGTCTATATAAAACGGAAATTATACGCATCCTCTGTGAATAAAATTGCTCACAAAACGACAAAATGGGAAAGCGTAGGTCGTGCATTCTTGTCGTACAATTTCGCAAAATTGCCTCTTAATATTTATTTTTTTATCTCAGTTTATCGGATATTTTAATAACTATGTTTTTACTTACCATTTATAAGTTTTAAATACTTTTCATTGTCTACAATTAAACATATTTCTTTGCTGTCAACTATAAGCTTGCTTGACTTTAACCACTCAGGTCGCCATCTTTAATATTTGTTTTTTTTATTAAATTAGTGATTTTATTAGACTAATATTCGTAATAGAAAATATTTAAGAGGTAAACTTAGTGACCTCATAAGTATTTGGATGAAAATTTCATAAAAAGTCAGGTAAAACTTAATAAATATTACATTTCCGATGCTTTAACGGCACTGAGTATGATTGTATGTAGAAAAATGTGAGCATCGAATTTACTGTTGATTAGCATAGTTTTAGTTTACTAAAACTAAAACTAAACGTGTATAACTTCTAAAACTAATACTCAGGAACATGATTAAAACAAGTGTTGATTTAAAAGAACCTAACACGATAAGTGAAGATGTTTCCACTTTCGGTACTATTGAAGACAGTGGTGTATATATATATATATATATATATAACTTATTCTACTTATACTGTAATAAACTGAACATTTCTGTTGTAATAAATTTGTCTTCGGCTGTCTATTAAAACTAAAAAAAAAAAAATGCGTGGGAAACGTTTAGAAGTTACAGTAAGCCTGAGATTCCAGTAAATACGGTAATATTATTAATATTAACAGCTTTTAATTGTTAGCAGCAACTAGTAGCAGGTGGTGTATTTGCTTCCTTGAACCCCACTGAGTGCCACTGAGCTGTGCCACTGAGCTGTGCCACTGACTAAGAGGCAAAATTATTTGAATGTTCGGTGTTGAAGAAAATCTGGTTTAAAAATATTTAAATGAAATCTAACTGAAAGTGAATCAATCTGTTCTCCTATTGTTTACAAGAGCGTTCAGCTTACCAAAAATTGTGGCTTTGATCAGAGGCGCATCCAGAGAGATGGTATGGTGCTGCATCACCTCTTGATAACAAAACAATCAGTTTCGTTACTTTAAAGTAAAAAAATAAATGTAATAATGACTTCAATTAGATAAGATTACGTAACTAAAATAATTTTAAGGTAATTGCGTAAAATTCTCCAATAAACTGTAGGGGTATGTGCCTTGGTCCCTTCCGAATCTGTCTCGAGCAGCACCCATGTTCTAAAAATCTAGATACGCCACTGGTTTTGATTTTTTGTCATGTTTATTTTCCGAAACAAAATTAAACCAGATTCTTCTATTGAATTCATCAGATTGGCTAAGGCTTATTTGGTTACACTATACGTGGAAAATCTGAAGGGGGATGCCTCTCGGGAGGACATTTACGGCAATCTGGTCCCTGTTAAGATGTTACAAATGTGAAGATAACCCAGAAAACTCCATTTAGCCAGCCCGTTGGCATGGAGCGAAACCACGACCAGTGGCCAACATGTTCAGTGATTCATCAGATTTGCCAAGTTTCAATTTTGTTTGGGACAAATTTCGTCTTTCTCTTTCAAGATTTTCATGCTTTGAGAATGGAAAATTAAAAATAAATTAACGGATAAAAAATTTCATAAAACTATCCAATCAGAAAATTTGCAATAAAATAGATATTAACAATTTATAAATTGGATTAAACCTCTTTATTGCAATTAAGTAATTTTTATCAGAATAATCATATTTTGTGTTATATAATACAGAATTATAATAATATTTATTCAAAATATACTGTATATAAACGTATAGGCAAATAAAAATTAAATCTTTATACTTAACAGTGTTATACTGCTAATTTTAATTCAAATAAAATTTAATTTAATTCGTATATATTATGAAGTTAATATCTATTAAAAATAAATATAGTACAGTATTTAAATTTTATCAAGTAACTAAACGAAAAGTTGTAATGTTTACTATAACTAATACGTCACACAATTACATTCTACAGCCACTTTCTGACCGAGACTATCGAAATAATGAAATGGAACCACTATCAACAAAGAGAGACATTTATTTTAAAAACTCTATTAAACTCTATAGTATTTTAACTTGTGAATAAAATATATATGTATGTCCTTAGTATGTGAGTCTTAATATTAACAAATATAATATTTCAGTAATTTAGTTTTTTCAAATATTATTTGTAAAAACTGGCAATTGTAATTCGTCTTTACTGCAGTACAATAATATTTTATCAATGTTACCTTTTAATATCTCGTATATAACTTATTTAAAGATAAGAATAATACAAATATAAGTTATATACTACATTTTCTACTGTATCTTTCTTAAATTTAACATATATAATAAATTTTGTTACTCGAGAAAACAACTATACATTACTCTTAATCGGTATTGTTTATATTAACAAAATTTCTGTCTATGAAAAATTGAATATAAAATTAATAAGCAGTAATTATAATTTTTATTTAATAAAAAGTAATGAAATTTAATAATGTACAATTTAATAGAAAGAAAGAAAAAAATAAAATAAAAAGAAAAAGAAAACATTCTGTCTAGTTGGAGTCTGACTGCAGGGTTCTAAAAGATTCCCTGGTGTGATGGGGTCAGAATTGGGGGGTATGTAACGTTAGACAGTGGGGATAACTGAGAGTGTTATATCAGTTTGAACGTTCTTGACAGCGGGGCCGCGATCATGTCAGCTAAGCTGGTGCTTTATTTACTTTTCTCTGTATTATTAGTGCAATGTGGAAGAATAGAATGTTTTTGTCGAGAGTTGAAACGCTGTTGTTCAGGAAGAGATAGTTCGTGCGTTGTTGTGACAGCAACTGAAAATTATGTGTTGACATCATCCAACTACAAAATGTGTTATTGTGACCATGCCTGTCTTAAAGTGGGGGATTGTTGCCCAGATTTTAAGGAAACTTGTTTAGGTATGCAAAAAAATTGAAATTTTTAAATAGTATATCTTAAAATTTAATAATAATAATATAAATAAATTTTAGTTCAATGACTGTTGAAGAAATAAATCTAAAATATTATCATTTTATCAAAAATAAATTATAGTTTCTTCATCATGTTGACTATGATTACAGAAAAGCTTGTGAGAAATTAATCCTTGAGAAGTAAGACTTTATATCATTCCCATCCATCAATCGTCGATAATAACGTACTTTGATGTGTTTATAAACATTATTTTATATATATACAATATATTGAATTGGAATTATCAGTAAAATACCTATTGTTAAATACATTTCTCCCATGGTAAAATCATATATAGGCGAACATTCAAAAACGACTACCTCTAAACAACACCTATTTTTCAGGAATAAAAATAAATACAAAATAAACTCCAAGCAATAGTCACTTCAGAATAACGGCCATTTTTTATGTTCCCTTCAGTGGTCTTTATTCAGAGGTTTTTATCTTCTTATTACTCTTTTATTTTTAAAAAATTCCTCTAATTTTTGTAAAAATATCAAATTTCTAATAATGTTAAAATAATTTAACTCGAACGAAATTTATATTTTATTCTAATAATAATTCTGCAGTTATTATTTCTGCAATAATAGGCTATTATTTTAGTCTTAAAATTTAAATTATTAATAAAATTAATTGTATTTTATAATTAAAGTAAATAAATTAATAACATAAAATAAAATTCAATTGATTAAAAATAATAATGATTACTTATGAAATATATATTTAAGCGAAAGAAAAAAATTTGTGTTTCTTTTCCTTTCAGTAAACGACTGCGAAGTGTCTAATTGGGGCCATTGGACAGAATGCAGTAATCAATGTGGAGTGGGAGTAATGGCTAGAACTAGGAATATTTTACAACAAACGAAAAACGGAGGTCAACCCTGTCCCGAATTACAACAATCTCGGGGTTGTATTGGAAATAATTGCGAAAGAAAGTCATCTGGCAAAATATTTAAAGGTAGAATTTATTTTTTTATTTATTTATAGTTTTTTTACATACTCAGATGATAAAATAATATGCTTTTAAACGCTTTTAAATATGCAGTATTTCGAGATGTAGTAAGCTAAATGGTTGGCTTTAGCTATTCATCTGTACAACGCTTGTACAGTTCCATTATAATAATAATTTCGACCATTACAGATAATTAACATGTTAATTTGGACGACGGATGGTGGGAATGATACTGAATACATGAAAAATCCTCCTAAAAATTCTCATTAAATTTAAATTTTACTATTACCGCAATACCATTCAGCTGTAAAACGATTCAGACCATTAATCTAATAATGATAAGATTCTGCCAGTATTCGAAATACTGCTTGAAAGTATTTGTATTACACACAGATTTATTATAATTTTTGTTTTACACATCACTTTATTAATTACCTACGAAGTGTCTCTAATTCAAAAATAAAATATGTAGAATTAATCATTTGTTTTATGAACATTTGTGTTGTGTAGAGTATTGTAGTCTTTTCCTTCTGGCAATTGCATGCTTTTAAAACAGAGTACGATCGAAAAGTTCCTGGACTGATTTAATAAAAAACAGACAGTAAAAAAAATAAATCTAGTTTTTTTAAACATAGACGAACTTGACTTTACTGCAGGAGCAAAAGCAATCGTGTGTACTCTCTATATTTTTATAAAATTCGATTGGAAGCACGCATAGTAACATCGTTTCCGACATTTTCAATGGAAGATTTACACGAACAACGGATATGATTGAAGTTTTCCTTCAATTTGAGGAACTCGGCCAGTGAAAGTGAAAGCTTTTGAATAAGATTCAATAAAGTGAACGACAGCATTTGAATGGTACAAAATATTTAAAGATGGCCGCAGCTTACTGGAGATATGGACCCCACAAACAATAAGACAATGAGAAACTTGAAAAAAGTTAAGAATTTTTAAGAAATTAAGAATCTGAAAATGGACGGATAATTATCAGAAATGTTTCTGAAGAAATCAATGTGTCATTCAGACTGTGTCAATCAATCATCCTTCAATCATGAAGATCTTGGCCTAAAAAGATAAACAAGCAAGCTTGTTTCTCGGATATTGATCCAGGAGCAGAAAAAGAACTTCAAATGGTCTGACAAAGCATCCTCCTGAAGGCTGAAGACGACAAGATGTGGACAGATAAAGTGATAACCGACGACGAGAATTGGGTCTACGGGAACGATCAAACAANCATTGCTGTAGTTTTTTTAAGAATGAAAGTTATTTCTGAAATTGGTACTTTATAAAGATAATTGAATTATTAGAGTTAGGACCAGGAAATTTGCAAATAAGATAATATCCTTGAAAATTATACTTTTCAACAAAACGAACATAAGTTATAAATTTTAACTATATTTTGAATTTTGTTCTTCATCCATCTTCTATTCGAGGCGCTCGCTTCTTTCTTTATCATCGTTTAATATATTTTTAATCAAAATATTTTCTGAGATATATTTATTTGCTATTTCTATTCGTGAATGTCCATGTCGTAGAAAATATTTAGTAAATTAATATAGCCAATTAGATTTTTCATACATAGTATTCGATACATGGGTGTCAATCCATAAAGGTAAGAGAGGACATATGGGAGATATGTCCTCTTATGGGTCATTATTTTTCTATCGGCAAATTGTCCTCCTTCCAAAATACATATGTATTTTTATTTTATATCCTATACAAAAATTAGGAGTAGAAACCGAGTACACTGTACAGTACATAACATGTACTGTACTATATATCTTATTTTTTATATCCACCCAAACCTAACAACGAGAAATTTTTCTTACTTGACCTTAATCCGACTCCCAGCATATTAATATATACAGATCGACGTCGATGTCTCATTAAATACATAAATTATTTCCATTTAATTATAGAGTTTTTGCGTATTATGATTATAGTTTGTTTTATTTTATTGATTTTGTATGATTTATTTATTTTAAAATTAACTGATATAACTCATAGTATAATGCATTCTTGCAAAAATAGTAAATAGATTTTTTATTAACGTTTTTTTATTATGTTGTTTACTGTTTTATTCGTTTTATCTATTGGTTGCTTATATAAAATTCATCTTGATATTTAGATTAGACATTTTTTTTTTTTTTGGATTGGGTTGATGGAATAAGACAATGCAACAATTTGGTGGTGTGCCAATGGGGATACTTCCTGGTGGACTTTCCATGGGAAGCTGGTCTTTATTAGATATTAGACACGTGAAGAAAACCCGGAAAACTTTATGTACCCTAAACTCGCGACCACTACCAAGTTTCAGCGGTTTTATCCACTTGGCCACTTGATGCGCCAGACATTATTTTTAATCATTTTTATTAAAACAGCATGATGAACGAGCTAGCGTAATGTTTAATTTAAGTGTATTTGATTTATTTTATGTAGTTGGCCTTACCTTCTGAGTTAGTTATTTTTTATAATTTATATAAATTAAAATATAAAACTATTCGTTCAGCAGAGACTCGTGGTTATCGAAGATGTATTAAGCTCAGTTATGTATATATACTTTCTCTTGTTCTTTGGAACATAGCAATATAAAGAAACAAAATATTATATATATATATAATATTCCTTATAAATATATATTATATATTACAGTTTTACAATATGCTACATATAGAACTTTAAATATAATAGTGCATTAAATATTTACTTCATTTGTTTAACTAACATAAATGAAATTTGGATTAAGTCAGTGATAAAAAATGTTTATTTTATTTGAACAGTTTATATTTTATTTTTATAAATTATTATTTTGTAATTGATTTTCAGCAGTTTTAGTAAAAAAATTATGAGAACAAGTTTTAAAACTTCAGAATTTTTTATATACAGCAGATATTTATCAGTCTTTATTGACTAGAGGCGAGAGAGTCTGCTGATCCTCCCACCAGTGGAGGAGTGGATAAAACCACTAAAACACTGATCATTGGTCGTGGATTTCCACCTAACAGGCTGGCCAGGTAAAGTTTTCCTGGCTTTCTTCACATATCTAAAAACTAAATAGATGTCAGTTTCCCTTAAACCCATATAAACAGCAATCCTTATATTAAGGCATAATACACTTAAAAATTTGTACGAAAGTTATCAACATAGAGTCATACCACAGAGCTAAATGAAACATTATAAAATATCTTATTAAGAAAAGACAATTATTTTTGTAATGAATATGTACTAATGCATAAAACATTATTTAAAATATTAAAACCATGGACTAAACAGAAGACAAAGAAGAAAAATTAGTTTTCACAAGTAATTTTTTCCTGTTACCGAAACCAAAACTGATAAAAAGCACCATTGTGCGATGTCTCGAAAATCATATGAAAGTCAGAATTTAGCATATGAAAAGTGATTTAGGGATATCAAAATATTATATACGAAAGGTCGAGTTGCCCAATAGTCGAGATGTACTTGTATTATATGGCATTTAGTTATAAGTAATAAATAGTAATTTATTTGAACTTGTTGGATGAAGCAACGACATGACTCATTCTGATGTTAAAATTAAATAATGAAAATTAAAAAAAAAAAAAAATAATAATAAATAACGTCTAACTTAATGAGCTTTACATAATATGATCATATTATTTTCGCAATTTACATACAGTAGCGGCATTGGAAATTGAATCACTCATAAAATCCTATAAAAATATGTTTATTTGTTAAATTAAAGTGTCATTTTGCTACAAACCTGAAATTTTTTATGATTAATTTACAATAATATATTCTGTCAGACGATTTTCTTGGAAAGTTTTGACAATTATCTACGACTTACATCATCATTAACTTTACATAAGTCTTTATCTGGATCCGGAAAATAGTGAATAAATTCTCAGAATAATTTTTTAAAAATCACAATGTAAGCAAATACTTTTCAGATGGTATTTAAAACACTTTAACACATTTAATTTTTATATCTCCAATTTTTTGGAGGGTCTCTTCAGTTAGATTTTCTGTTAACAAGTATAAGACAATGCTTAAAACAATAGCTTAAAAAAATAAAACAAATTATTTTAAAAATTCATATACATCTATATCATATGACTATATTTATTTTATGCATCTATTACTGTATTTTATTGTTTTAATTCATCTTACAGCACATTATTGATATGATTATAATATTAATATTATAAATATTATTATTATTATTATTTTATTTTTGATAACATCTTAATTTGATTTATGTTCGTTTCATTAAAATTAGTAAATATGTGTGTTTAAATAAAAATTAAAAATTTCAGAAACCGCTCTTATTTTATCAGCAAAATTTTCTTTCATGAGATCATTGAATAATACACAAGATATACGTCATAATTTGAGATTAAAATATCCATCAGATCCCGTAGAAAACAGCAAAGAGTAAGAATTGTCATTTTTATATAATTATCATTATAACTTTAAAGAATGAAAAATTGTGTTATTTTGGTTAAGAAATAATTTATTCTTCAAATACTCATATAATTTATTATGTAATATTACTAATACTTTTACAAAACACTTATTAAAATATTTAATTGATAAGTTAACATTAAAAGTAACATTCAACTGAAAGCTTTTATCATTTAGAGGTAAGCCTATATATGTATGCAGGAGTGAAGCTTTGTTGGGTTCGGAAAATACCGCTGTATAGTCAGCAAAGTTACGAGAAAAAATTACGTATAAAGAAAGTCCATAAAAGATGCGGAGAATAGAGAGGGGAGTCAGTCTTTTTGGATTGACTCCTCTCCTCTTCATCCTCTCTGAACTCCTTTTACGATGAATTTTCAATTTTTATGACCTTATTAACACCACTGTTTATGACAATAATGCAAGTACTGTACTTATCATTTGCTGTTCTAATTTAAGAGAGCTTAATCTTTATACGAACACTTTTCGAAATCAAAATATGGATATTAAACTATCCTTTTCCTTTGATATTTTTAAGATATGCTTACACTGCCTTTTATGCTTTACATTGATAAGTTTCTAGTACTCCATTCATGGTTTTCTACATTGTCAATTGGAAAAAACAGAGAAATATTGCGTGGCCAACTTCAATCCTTATTCAGAGTCTTTCTACTAGTCTTTCTCCCTTTCGTAATTATCATAAAGTACAGAAACGGAATTAACCGATTAAAAAAACACACAAAAAAAACAGATTTATAGTATATAAAATGAATAAGTCACAGAGCTACATTTGATCACTTTCATTTGAATAATTTGATAACCAAAATAACAATATTATAATAAAAATAATAATGTTTTATTATTTTAAAAAACGCTTTGATATTCCAGATATTGCATTATTTTCGAGATATTAAAACTGAAGAAAGGTTGTTCAAATCAAGATGATACTTTCAAATTACTGACAAAAGGATCTAAAGTATGTGTATCGTGTGAACGTGCTGCTATGAGAAAACATCTGGGATATCGTTGCAATGGTGATGGATTCGATGGAAAATCATCCAGATGGATCTCTTTAGCTAATCCTCGTTGTCAAGGTCGTTGGATAAGGCGTGAAAGACAAGATGGATGTCCTTGCGATAACAATGAAACACCACATTTTATACTTGTTTAACAAAAACATTCAAAATTTGATTTATGTTTAATTTTCTATTATAGATATTCCTAAAATATTCACGATTTATGCTTTAAATCCATTTTTGTACATTACATTTATATGACATACATTTTAATTATAAATATCTATATTACTTGAACAAAGCATTGGTGATTTTAGATTCATATTCTTATAATAAAAATGCCTAAGGGAAATTTGCTATTAATATATGTAAAATTATTCAACTCCATAATTTAAAATATAAAAATACACTCTCAAGTACAGTATACATTTCTCGGTTTTCAATTATCAAATAATAAATTTAAAACAAAAAATTCTTAAATTAATTTATTTTTCTCTTATATTTCTAGACATGGAGTTGAAAGTATAGTTTTGTATATCGTTGAAGAAAAAATATTATGATAAAATTTATATATAAATATAAAAATTGTGATAAAATGATAAATTCCATTATTAAAAATGTAAAATTGTATTTTATGAATATCGTATAGCAATATTCAGTTATAATATTATCTTGCTCACTTTGAGTATTAGAATATTAAATATTTTATATAAACTGCTTAGAAAAAGCAATTTTAATAATTTTATCTTACTTTATTTCCATTTTTTATATGTTATGTTAATTTTATTTCAAATTTATAAGAGAATTGTCATCATTTATTGTCCAAGTTATAGGATTAAATAATAAAGTAATAATAAACTGTTGAATGAAGGTATTATTTCTTTTAAAATAAAAAAAATTTAAAAAGTTATTTGTGTTTCATTTTCTCTTCATAAATTCTAGTTTTGTCTACAGTACATATATTTCCATTGGATCGGCTCTCTGAGTGAATTCTTTAATAGAAATCAGACACTTAAGAGACTCGCCAGTGGCGGAATGGATAAAAATACTGAACACTTGTAGTTGGTCTCCTGTGCAATTTTCTGGGTTTTATTTGAATTTCTGATATCTAAATAGGGACCAGTTTCCCACAGAAAATCATTCTGTTAAGCATCTCCTCTTTGGGAAATTCGAATTTAATATTAGTTGTAATGCAGGAACATTGAAATCTTTATATCAGGTACAAAATCACGTATATTCTTGCATTTAGAGTTTATTGCAGTATAATCGTAATAGTAATAAAAAAGCTAATCTCATGTAAGCAAGCTGTAGCGAAAGGAAATAATATTTAAACCGTGTATTTAGCCACATTGGGGTACACTTCAATAATTATTTAGCGAAAGTTTTATTTTAAATCAGCTAGAAATTAAATCAATTAGGCTTTTGTAATTGTTTATATTGAAGCCGAATGGTTTAGCTAATTATAAATGAATTTTCAATTAAAAATTATCATTGGTTAGATTCAATAAGGCAAAAACTACAATGTGAAGGCGATCTGCCAAGATGGGATACCACGTGGGAAAACGTCTATGAAAAACTAGACGTTAGACATATAAAGTACACACAGAAAACTACATGTAGCCAACGCATTGGTCAGGCCCGAACCACGACTATCAATGTCCTGTGGTTTTATCCACTATGCTACTGGTTAACCAAGTAACTTTTATAGAAAATATTCTATAAAGATGACTGAAAGTCCCATAACTTTTGTAAAATTGCTTGGAAACTTCTTCGTGGATTGTGGAAGTCTAATTCAGTCATTAAAAATTACCTTAAGTTACCAGAAATAAAGAATAACAACACTCCAATACTATAGTAGTGTAGTTTACTACGAAGTTCAAAAATCTCACAAAGTTTAGAATTTTCCAGTGAGTCCCGATGCCTCTTATGAACATATGTTTGTTTTCAGCATGATTTGTTTCAAAATGTACTTACGAAGTTTAGTGAAAGCCAGAAAACTGTTCGCACATATTTTACATACGATACACTTTTCCTCACCTGTTCAGTGTCATTGATTCCCTCTAGAAGGCCCAAGTCACACATGTAATAACACGGACGCCCTCAGACATGCTGAGTAGATATTATTGGTGAATAAGGAAAATCTGCAGATAAGTGTAAAATTTTAGTTCATATTGACATGCTGTTTTCGAACATTACCTCTTGAGAAAACGTTGACTCTGTTAGTGCTAAATTTACTTCTGGTGTATGTGTTTAAGTTCTGATAATTGAATGTGTTAATAAACGCGCCAATGTTTGTGAGACGCGTTTCTTTAACTCACTCTCCCCTACAGCCTTAATATTTCTGAATAATATTTGACACGTTCTTTTAATATATCGTTATTTACAGTAGAAAAAGGGACGTACTGTAATCTGATAAGATATGACAATCTCGTATTTCGCATTTTAAATGTTTTTGAAAATTTAAACTTTGGTATCGATTTTTCGATGTGTTGCATACATGTTAGCAACTTGTATTTTGTGAGAATCCAAAGCAGTTACTGTATCGCTTCAGTCAGTAGATATATATCAGTCACTACTCGTTTATCTGCACTTTTTAACAAGACAAACAAAGACTTAATTTTATTTTATATTTCCTTAGCGTACTTTATCTTGTTTTTCCCACTATCGCCCGTTATCTACCCTTCCTTGTTTAGGGGCTTGAGGAATTTAAAAACTCGATATAAATATAATTCAATAAGGAAAATATTTCAGATAGACTTTAAGTATATAGCTATTAAAATACGGTTATTTTTTTAATGTTAAAAGAAATTCAAATAAAAAATTAATTAATCTGATTACTCAAAAATTTATTTTAAAAAAATACAATTTATTCTAACAGAATTTAAAATTCGTTTTTAAAAAATGATTCTAACATAATCATATTTCTATCGTTATTTAAAACATTGTCTTCGTATAATTTCAACTGATGATTAGTATGAACAGGAGCTAGATCTTGAGTACAACACCATCTGAAATATATTTCTTTTTATGAAAAAAAATGTTTGTTATTTATTTAATGCTATGTGCAGAGTAGCCACAAAATCATTATGCATAAAACCATGTAAGAGAATATCTCCCCCCGACAAATTCAATGAATTGAATATTAATCTGATAAGATATGACATGGTGGAAGTCCAGATTTGACTTACATTTGGTTGGAAGCATTAGGTATAAAGGAGAAGTTCTTAACTTTTCCTTGTGATAGTAAAAGAAATAACATATCAGGGACTACTTTAATGACTTCCAAATGTCATAGATGGAATTTGCTCAGAAAAACATTTAGATAAATTAAATTTGTTTGGAAAATAGAGAATAGTATAGATAAGTTGGGACTCTATGGCCACTCTGTACATTAATTTTACTTCAAAAGTAAAGAGTTTAAATGTTTTATAGTTTAACATTTTTAAAATATTTAAATAAATAAATTTGTTAATATAAAATACAATGTAATATTTAAAATAACACAAGTAGCAAAATGCAAATTATACCTGAATGCTATAATATTATCTTGCTCACTTTGAGTATTAGAAGCATTTTCAATCAACAATGAGCCTAAAATTTCAAAATTGTAGTTTAAAAAATGTATTTATTCTAATAAAACGTGTAATATTTATATAAAAATAAAATAATGCAAATGAAAATGGAAGAAATGGAAGTTAAACATAAATTTATATTTAAAATTGATACAGTATGTAGGCCTAGATGTAATTTAAATTTTTTCTTTTCTTTTGTTGTTCATAACACATTTTAATCGTACTGTATATAATACACTATTAAACAATATTACGTTAGTATTGTATCATAGATTAGTCAGTAGTAAATTACCAATTACATGATTCCTGGTAAAAATGCATCTTTCGTTAATTCAATTCCTTAAAAATAAAAAAGTTATAACTATGGCACATTTGTAGTAATGGATTAGATTGATACGATAAGGCAATGCTGGAATCTGCCAATAGGATGTCCTCTGGTAGACCTTTATGTAGGAAACTGGCCTCTATTTAGGTGCAGACATGTAAAGATAAATCTTCTCCTTTAATTACATGTACAATAGATAGTTCATGGGCCCCTGATATTCAAGAAATGACATAAATAAGTTATGTAAATATTTTCTGATAATTTATTCACACGACTAGTAAGTATGCTTATAAGAACTCTGCATGCTACCGAAAGTCCACATAGGATAATGCTTCCACCCTTTCCCTCTCCATCATACACAATAATGTACTTTTTGTAATCCTGCTCCTCCTCTTAAATTGTACACGTAATTAATGGATGAACCCTTTTATATGCATAATAATAATGTCATAAGCATTAGGCTAGTTGATGTGTCAATTTGCAGGTTTCACCAAAGGCATATGAGTTGGGAGAACAGGGGGCAGCTTCCCTCTCAAATCCGGGCAAAACAAGAACAAAAATATCAGACAAAGAAAGCAAAAAGGTTAACAAATTATCAGTGATGACATATTTTAAATTAATAACCTACTTGTTTTCATTTGATAAAAATTTCAGTAAAATCAACCCCTCTGCTCTCTTAACCAAACTGTCCCCATACTCCCATGAGTTTAATCATGCATGAATATATCGATTCTATATTATTTCCAAATATTTTCTGTGTTTTCACATATTTGAGTGCAAAAATTCAATTCCAAAAAGTAATTTAGATGAACCTAATGTTATAGGATACATACAGTAGGAATTTGATTGTTTGAGTACAATGTTGTTTATCTTGCATATGATCAGCTTTCAATTCTGAAATGCGACGCATAGAGCAAATATGCATTAATCAAGTTTATTCAAAATAATTTTGAAATCTTCTAAAACACCTGCAATAATTTCAGGTTTATATCCCATACTCAAAAGTGAAAGTTTTTTGATTTGGTCTTTAAAAAAAAGAGAGAGAGAGAGAACTGTCTAAGGAAATTAGAAGAATAAGTTTTGTTTATACGTGAATAAAGAAATCTTCAGAGTCAGACTTAGTATTATTTTATAGGGCTTTTTTATTATCAGTTAAAAGCTGACCCAAAGTTCCTTCTTACCCTGATTTTTAACAAATAATTTCACACAAAGGACAATAACTATTGTATTTGAGTGTTAAAAATTGGGATAAGACGAGACTTTGAATCAGCATTTAACTGATAATAAAAGAAAGTCTTATAAAATAAATTTTGGTTGATATGTTATTTAAAATCCAAAATTCAAATATCCTAAATCATTCAAAATAATCATAAAACTGTTACTTATATATCACCAATATTAAAATCTCAAGTTTATTAAGATTAATAAATCTTGTAATTAATTAATATTAAAACATTTATCTTCTTTCTTTTTAGTTATCTTCTCAATGAAATTATTTTGAGAGATCGCTGAGTACTTAAGATAAAATAATAAATTTATTTCATAATTATATTTTTACAAATTATTAAATGGATTGCATTTTTTAAAAATAAACTGTAATTTCCTTAGAATAAGTTTTTCCCTTAAACATCTAAGCATTGTTAGTTGAATATCAAGTATTAAAAACCATTACTATTAATTTTGGAATAATGAAAATTTTTCCATTATCAATTTCACATCCTCACATTTACAATACATGTATGCATGCAAATAATTCTAAATAAACTCTTGAAAGAACTGCTCTGTCAAGACTTGGTTGATGTCACGATTTCAAATTTTTCACACTTCAAGAGTTTTTATAAAATTATGAATACTTTCAGTAATGAATTACATCAAATGAATAAAAATAAATAGGGAGCTAATGTCTAGATTTTACTTGTGTCTTAAGATTAAAAGACAGAAAAGTTGCAGATATCACAAAAGATTAATATACTCTCAAATCTTTTAAATAAAAGTAATCAATTATTAAATAAATATCTTTTTCTTTATTCAGCAAACTACTATTGCTTCAAATATTCCCTTGGTTTAAATATTATTTCTTCAAGAATATATACATATTTTCTTTATTGTATATGTTAGAATAAAAAGATAAGTGAATAATTTAATCAATAATAATTTAATCAAAGAATAAAATAATTATTTATACATGAAAGCCTATTAATATATACTTACCTATATAAATACGAGCTAATGAGTATGCTAAGTCTCTAGCTGCTGTAATTAACTNTACAAACCCACGAATGAACTCCCAGTGTTCAGGGAACAAAGACCGCTTGGCCACTGGTGGGCCCAAATCAAATTTGTAAAACACTTTGTAAGATTCTTAGTATTTATTGTATTTCATTGCAACATAAGTACATGAAACTGCAATATTATACCAAATTCTATTGAGTTCTTTAATAGTTACAAAACTACATAAAATCAGAAGGCAAATGGCATACATTTAATCCAGCAAAGTTTAAACTGTTAACAGATATTTTTAGCTTTTCAAATAATCAACAGATTTTTGTGTATGTATAAATAAAAAAACTTATTATTGTATCACAATACTTATTTTTATTATATTAATATTTTATTTTTTTCATTTGTATATTCTTCCCATTTTTACATGTAGTCTTGTAATTTAACACTTTAATTTCTTTGGTTGTAGAATGTTTTAAAAATTTGATAAACTTTTCAATTAAGCATTACAAATGTGTAATTTTAAACTTAAAAGTTTATCAAATTTTAAAACACTGTTGCCTAAGACAACTATTAAAATAGCTTAACACATTTGTAAACTAGTTTTATGAACCAAACCTAATATTTTATTCAAGAGTATAATATAAATTTTTTTATTACTTTTACGTTTTTAACAAAATATTCTCATTTGAATATTAGTTTAAAAAAGATCATTGTTATTACATTGATTGATTGTTACTGTATATAAAATTTTAATTAAAATTTAAATATTAAATTTATTTATAAAATTTCTAAACATTTAAAACTTATAAGCAAAATATGCTATACCTGACTATCACGTAAATAAGAAGCTATTCCAGTATCTTCCATATAACCTTGACCACCAAAACATTCTAGTCCTTCAGAGACAACTGCCACAGCCTTAATTAGTGAATAATTTTTATTAAAATATTTCTTTAATAAGAAATAAATTTTAAGCTATAATGTGCACCACTACTTTTTATATTTGTACTCCTTCTGTTCTGTGGGCACCTTTAGTACTGTACCTAATATATCAAAGTATGTAGCTTTATTCTTACCATTTTCTGTACTATCTTCTAATCTTTCATCTATAAAAAAGCTATAGGTACCAACTTTGAACTCAAGTAACAATTTAAGAAATTTTTTGATAATATCAAAACAATCTACATTTCCAAATCAATGCACAAAAACATTTATTTCACATCATTTAAATCAAACCTTACTTAATTGTACTGTAAGTACACGAAAATTTGGATTTTCCTTCTTATCTGACTTATGGAGGCGTGAAACCTTCTTAACTCTAAAGCATTTGCTAAATGAAATAGAATTCGAATACTGTAAAATTTAACTCTATTTTAAAAAAATCTATTACTTCTATTTAAAAAATTAGGTTCAGATTTACTGAAATAAAACATTAACACTACTTTAACAGTTTTCTTTTCAAAACAGTAACGTAATTAAAGATAAAAATTTACAGTTAAAAAAGTTTTAAATAATCAAATTTGTTTGGTTTGGTTTGGTTTGGTGTGTTTTAGTTATGGCAATGCAACACTTGGGCAATCTGCCTAGGGGGATGCCTTCTGCGAGGTCTTTTTAAGAGAAACTGGCCTCTATTTAGGCGTTACAGACATAGAGAAAACCCAGAGAACTCCACGTGGCCAGCCTGTCCAAGCGAGGTACAAACCCACGAATGAACTCCCAGTGTTCAGGGAACAAAGACCGCTTGGCCACTGGTGGGCCCAAATCAAATTTGTAAAACACTTTGTAAGATTCTTAGTATTTATTGTATTTCATTGCAACATAAGTACATGAAACTGCAATATTATACCAAATTCTATTGAGTTCTTTAATAGTTACAAAACTACATAAAATCAGAAGGCAAATGGCATACATTTAATCCAGCAAAGTTTAAACTGTTAACAGATATTTTTAGCTTTTCAAATAATCAACAGATTTTTGTGTATGTATAAATAAAAAAACTTATTATTGTATNACAGTAATGTTAATTTAAAGTCTATAATTGGTCTACACTTATTTTGTTTATGTGTTTTTATATGAATATTTAATTTGGGTATTCTTATGTTCTCCTTAGGAAATATTTCATTAATTTCTGACTTTGAGATGGTACTTTCGTTTGACAGTTTCTTTAGCTTTTTAGTTAACATTTTTCTTATAACTTTTGTTGGATCTTGTTCTAGTTCTTTGAAATTACCTTCAGATATGAGTTCTTCTTTCTTTCTCTCTACATCTTGTATAGTCAGTATTATAATTTGTTGTGATTTGTCTACTCTAATTAAACAACAATCAGATTTTTAAAAAAAATTTTTTATCCTATTATATTTACCTATCTATTTTCCTGCTTTATGGTCCTTAATGTATCCTTTATCTGTATTAAATTTCTTTAAGTCTTCAGCAATTTTTATTTTAATTTCTTCTTTTTTATATTCACTTCTAAATATTGCATAATCTATGTCTGTTACAGTATCTATTGTTTTTTCAAAGAAAGGTAAATTCATACTAATATCAAATGATAAAAAATTTATATTAACCCAATGTAAGAGAAGAAGTCAAGATAGTAAATAAGAAGTTCCTGTTAAATGAATACCCAAGAAATCTTTTTAAAAAATGGTATGATGACCTCATGTTAAATAGATACAAAGTATAGAGAAAAAAAAATAAAAAGTACATATCGTTTACATATATTACAGATATATATGAAAAATATCAAAAAATTTTTAGTGAAACTTTAATAAAATTAGCTCTAATTCAAAAAACAGACTATCGGAACTCATGAAAATTGGTTATACAAAAAAGGACCCATTGGAAGAGGAAGGAGTTGAGTACAGATTGCAATGTACTGTACATGCAGAGTCCCAAATTTTTATGTTGGAGAGACAAAACAGAAGTTGAAATCAGACTGTCAGAACATCTTGCTGCAGTACGNTTATCAAATTGTTCAATTGTTATATCTAAATAATTTATTTTATTATGTTTTTCAATTTTGTGAGTGAATTTAATATATGGGTTAACCTTATTCGCTATTTCAGTATTTATCAGGTGATATTATTGTACTATTGTATATTATTATTATATCGTCAACATACCTTGCAATAAATTCTATTCCTGTTAGTCTTGATAATACTTTATCCATATCTATCATAAATATTTCCGCTAGTTTTGGGCCAATAACAGATCCCATGGAAATGCCATCTTTTTGATGATAATATTTTTCATTAGCTGGTAATTTTTATCTAACATGAATGCAATAAGGTCTATTAAATAATTAGGAACTTTGTACTTACATAAACTTTGCACTGTCATTTCTTTGTTAATTGAAGGATACATTGGTATTATATCTTGGCTCACTAATTTATGATTTGGTGTGATTTTCCTTTCTTTAGTTTTGATATTAAAATATCTGCATTTTTATACTAAATTCTGAATTTAGAATGTTCTATAAGGATTTTTTTTTTAATTTCTAAGTTATACAGTAATGTTAATTTAAAGTCTATAATTGGTCTACACTTATTTTGTTTATGTGTTTTTATATGAATATTTAATTTGGGTATTCTTATGTTCTCCTTAGGAAATATTTCATTAATTTCTGACTTTGAGATGGTACTTTCGTTTGACAGTTTCTTTAGCTTTTTAGTTAACATTTTTCTTATAACTTTTGTTGGATCTTGTTCTAGTTCTTTGAAATTACCTTCAGATATGAGTTCTTCTTTCTTTCTCTCTACATCTTGTATAGTCAGTATTATAATTTGTTGTGATTTGTCTACTCTAATTAAACAACAATCAGATTTTTAAAAAAAATTTTTTATCCTATTATATTTACCTATCTATTTTCCTGCTTTATGGTCCTTAATGTATCCTTTATCTGTATTAAATTTCTTTAAGTCTTCAGCAATTTTTATTTTAATTTCTTCTTTTTTATATTCACTTCTAAATATTGCATAATCTATGTCTGTTACAGTATCTATTGTTTTTTCAAAGAAAGGTAAATTCATACTAATATCAAATGATAAAAAATTTATATTAACCCAATGTAAGAGAAGAAGTCAAGATAGTAAATAAGAAGTTCCTGTTAAATGAATACCCAAGAAATCTTTTTAAAAAATGGTATGATGACCTCATGTTAAATAGATACAAAGTATAGAGAAAAAAAAATAAAAAGTACATATCGTTTACATATATTACAGATATATATGAAAAATATCAAAAAATTTTTAGTGAAACTTTAATAAAATTAGCTCTAATTCAAAAAACAGACTATCGGAACTCATGAAAATTGGTTATACAAAAAAGGACCCATTGGAAGAGGAAGGAGTTGAGTACAGATTGCAATGTACTGTACATGCAGAGTCCCAAATTTTTATGTTGGAGAGACAAAACAGAAGTTGAAATCAGACTGTCAGAACATCTTGCTGCAGTACATTTAAAGGTCAATACTTCTGCAGTATTTTTGCATTGTAATAGTAATAATTGTCAAATTAATGTTAATGAAATAAAAATAATGTATAAAGAAATAAATACTGTAAAAAGAAAATTTAATAAACATTTTGCAATCGTTACACAAAATAATTCTGTTAATTTAAATAATGGTGTGGTGCCAGCGAAATGCTGGGTAAATCTTTTCGGATATAAAAATTGTATACCACAGTGTAAGAGATTGTAATGGATAGTTGTAGTGATTGGCAAATTGAATTGTATTGTGCAGCTTGGAGCCCTACTGAGGAAGCCAGTGTACTGGCAAAATGCATTTGGGGTTAAATAAGTTGTAATAAAAATTAGTCTCTCTCAAAGGAAAAACTGGTTTGCTTGTTTAACTTTTTATTCTAATTCTATTTCATTTAGCAAATGGTTTAGAAGGTTTCACACCTCCATAAGTCAGATAAGAAGGAAAATCCGAATTTTCGTGTACTTACTTACAGTACAATTAAGATTAGAATATTCTGACTCCATCATTTTAAATATTTTAATTTATTCTTATTTAAATCAAACTTTTAACTTTTCAGATAAAAAAGTTAATAGTTTGGTTTAAAAAATAATATAGTTAAGGTATAATTCGCTTTTCATTTCTCAAAAATTACCTGGCTACTTGACACATGTCTTTATGGTAACATATTTCATTTCATTAATTAATTAATCTAAATTTAGAAAGTGTGAATTTATTTTAATAACTATATTATAAAATTATCATTTATTTTTTTACCTGCTTTGCAGTATAAAGTTTTAATATGGGAGTTAATAAACGAAAAAGTAGAACTTCTTCATCAGTAGCTTTATTGCATTCTTGTTTACCTAACCNAGTTGAAATAGCTATCTATATTATAAAATTATCATTTATTTTTTTACCTGCTTTGCAGTATAAAGTTTTAATATGGGAGTTAATAAACGAAAAAGTAGAACTTCTTCATCAGTAGCTTTATTGCATTCTTGTTTACCTAACCATCTGATAACCTACATAAAGAATTTTAAATTAAATGTAACCTCAAAAATAAAACAGATATTATAAAATACACTTTAAGAAATAACTCACTTCTAATAGCAATAACAATGAACCTTGTATTTCTGTCTCCATTCTAGCTAAAGTTTGTACATGTAATGGATAATTATTTAATTTACTTCCAAAGACAGATCTACGATTGGCATAGTCACTTGCAAGATTTAAAATACTAAATATTAAAAGATTAAATTAAAATATCATTTATAAATCTCAATTTAAGAAAAAATACTTTAAACATACTGTCTCATAGAAGAAACAGATCCTACTGCGTTATGGATACGAGTCATAGTTAACATATATGATATAGCAGCAATTCCTTGGCCATTTTCTGACATCTTTCAAAAGTCAAGATATAATTGCATCATAATTTCTAATAATTTTATTTAAAAAACTTTTTTATAATTGAAATTTTAGAGAAACATCCAATTTTCAAAAATATAATTCTGTAAAGGCATACAAATCATACTACCAACGATATTTACCTAATGCTTTTTATTGTATATTACAGGAAAAATCTGTTCTATTATTTCATTATAAATCATACAAAAACATAAATTTACAGTAAATTAAAAAATATAGTATACCTTATAAGCTGTTGTTCCATCTAATAATAATTCAGCAGTTGGAAGCTGTCTTGTTCCTAATTTGTCTTTTAACCTTATTATGTGTATATTATTCAAATTTCCATCAATTGCCTTAGTTTCTAAATAAAATAAACTTAATGGTTGAAATTCCTGAAATTCAAAAACAAACTGTAATTATTTTTTCCAAATACATTCTAATTAAAGTAATATATATTAATTAATTATATAATATATGGTATATAATTACATAAAATAAAGAAACAAATTTATTGTTTCCATTAAAAGATTTAAAAAACTTTTACTAAAGTAGCTACGATACATATTCATTTCATTTATTTATAAAAAAATCATCAAATGTTTATCGATTGAAAGAAATTTTAAAGTACCGTAAACCCCCCTATAGTTCGGATTCCTATATGACGGCGAAAAAATTGCGACGGTATCCATACAAACATGGTAAAAAAACTCCTATAATTCAGTAAAACGTCATTGGGCAGCCAAACTACTTTCTGCTGTCCAGCGCCATGCTAAGGAGAGTTTAGGCGAGTAAGTTGAGTTTACTATCGTCTGTACAGTATGTAAATTAGGTACCGTAAGTCTAATACAGTACTGTAATTTTATGCATTTCTTGTGAAAGAAACATTTCTTATTCAATGGCCACAAAAAGTATTTATATTAATGATGTCTCCAAAGTTCAACGAAGTTTTTGCAGAAAAATAACTTATCAGAAATCATGCCCACCATTTGATGCGCTGCTCCGCGACGAAAACAAGCTTAAGCAATGGCGACGTCGAACGATGCACACTCAGTAAGTAATCCTACAATTTTTTGTTTATAGCATAGTTAATACGGATTATTTTCAAAAAAAATATACGTATTTTAAAAATGTTGAGTCAAATTAGTCTAGAATCGATTAATTTTATTGAAGAAAACCTTACAAACAGCCGTAGTCCGTAAACTTCACACGTGTCAGGCTGTGATTGGCAAGGTCTCTTAAAACATCAATTTCATAAAAAATGGAACGTGTCTACCGTTTTATAGGGGGGTCAACTATACTATTTTTTTTAATATAGTAGTTAAAATGAAAAATATTTTCAATGTGTATAAAATAAACTTCATGAATTTATTATGCCATATATTTTTTTGATATAATACTTTTAACATAATAATTTATTTAACCTGGTAAAAAATATATATGACTATATATATATATATATATACACATATACACACACATATTCTATATACAGGAAATCTATCCTCATTAATTCAAACTAAGACAGTTAAAAATCCCATTGGTTCGTAACTATACTTTTGTCCCAGCCAGGGATATAGACATTTACACGTGAAGGAATTCAGTTACTTCGATATACAGCTATTTCATAATTTGAAGTAAAAACTCTGTCTAATATACATATGTTAACTCATTTGTTTAGATTGACATGCCTCCTTACTGTAAGAGAACAATACACCAAGAACAACTCTAATCTGGTCAATAGGCTTTCCTTTTACAGTAACATACTTTTGGGTATCACTTTATCCATGAATTATCCTTCTTTCTCTCTTATCTCATAAAATATAACTGGTTTTCAGGATTGCAAGATTGGCTACGAGCAGTAGATTGAGATATTTGTAGTACTCTAGTCTACAAATCAAGTAAGTCATCCAAACATACACATATGTTTGGATGACTTACTACTTTTTGGGCCACATTTTGAGGAATTCTGTTTTACTTTTTATAAAACTTATCTGGAGACCTGTGAAGTTTTCACCAGACACATACTGTTTACCTGCAGTTTATTTATATTTTTATTATTAATTATTAATTAACAAAAATAGCATTCTGTATACATATCTATATTCCATTTGCTTAATAAATTATGTCAGTTACATGGCATTTGGTATATTGTATGGGCATATATAAATCTCGGATAATTTGAAACTTGATACTTTGAAGTTGTGATTATTTTGTTCCTTGAATTTCAAACTAATGAGGATTTCCTATATATATAGAATTGTTTTTATTAATTCTTTATTTGTTTTTCTAACAAAACATATAATTCTCCAATACTCTAATTATTTCAAGTCACTATAAATTTAATTTAATAAAAAGAACAGATAAATACTTATTCCAATGAATTCATTCTTCAGAATAAATGGCTTTTAATATGGTAAATACTTGCTGATATTTTGAATTTACCATTTTGAAATTAGTGAAAATGTGTGAAAATACTAGTGATAATTAGTTAAAACAATTTTTACAACATATTCTTCCATATATATGAATATATACTGTATTTGTTTCTTTGATATATGCACACAATTCTTCAAATTTCTAATGATTCAAGCAAATTTCTTGATATTACAACTGGGTATATAAATTATCAATTCACTATGATTTACTATACAATTTTGAATATGTGAAAATTGCTCTAACAGTACTAGTGATTTTAAGATTTCTTGCTCTCAGGATATGAGTTTTTCATTATTTAATAACTTTTCAACATTCTAGCATATTTTAGTATAATATAATTTCACTATAATATATTTTGGCAACCTCACAATTTCATTATACTAACATTTTATTGTAAAAAGTGTTTAATTTCTTGTTTGTTTAATAACATATACAATGTTTTATTACAATAAATAATAAATTGATTTTTAAATGAAGGAATGAAATACAATATAACTCAGTTATAAAGAAATCCCAAAATAATCATTTCTACTAAATTGATATTAATTATAATTTTCTTTATTTATATAAAATGAGATTAAGAATTAGGTCTTATAAATACCTGATTTTCACCATTTTCATCAGAAATTTTAGCCAGTGTTAGCGACATATCAGAATCTGCAGCTGAAGTAAACCACTTATAACCATAAAGTTTATAACAATCATTCTCTTGATGTAAAGCAATAGTTTCAGTCCCACCAGCTAATAAAAAATGCTTTATATTAAAACTATTTTTTCAGATAATTATACTTTTGTGAAAATAAGAAATAAATTTTACAATTAAAAATTTGTATTGTTTTACAAATTTAACAACAATACAAAGTATTTGATAAAATTGATGTGCATGAAAGGACAAAGTTTGAGGACACTTTTTATGTATTGTCTATTGAAAATTTTTTATAAATTTTTTAAGTTTAATACAAAGTATTGTGTGCTAAATTTCTAAAATACTTCAGATTTAATTGATATATTTAAAATGTTATGAATTTCTCAATAAACAGAATGAAACTATTGTAGACAAATTAATTATTAGACAAAATAAAATAATATATAATTTTATTATCTTTTATTTAATATTTCTTTGTTGTTTGAGAAAATATATTTAAATTCTTCTTTAACCATTCTTAGAAACAATTTTTTGTGAGAAAAAAGTAATTGATTTCATATAAACATTCTTAAACGTTCAAATTAAAATGTAACTTTTCAAAATAAATCTTATACACTTATAAAAAGTTAAATTGTCATGAACAATAAATATTTATAATTAGGTTATTATTAGGCATTTTTATCAAACTTAAAATCATAATTTATCTTTCTATATATAAACAAGCATCCATCATATGAGAAATTTATCTGTATGTTTAATTATCCTAATACATATATTTTATTTTAAATGTACAAAATTTAATGTCTGAATTTTGTCTAAATTGAAAAATAGTTTTTTAATTGTTTAATTATATTCAAGTTTAGTCAGAAGTTTTTATTTTGATTACTAGCTGCAAGGGCCCGCTTTGCTGGGTTTTTATTTTTATGTAATATAGTTCTTTTTATATATAAAAGACTGTTTTTCTAAGTAATCTAGAATCTAGCTGCAAGGACCCGCTTTGCTGGGTTTTTAAAAAGTAACGATAGTGAAGATTAAGATAATTACATTATAGCTAATCTTACCCGTTTTCACAGAATGCAAGAATTAGGTCCCCCGTTTCCAGACTAATTAGAGAATTTTTACGTTTAGTCAAACGAACAAATTTCAACGTTTCTGGAACGTTTTCAATCGTTCTATAATCGAACCAATTCGAATTTTATGTTTGAATTTAATTCGAACAAATTCGAAAAAATCAAACAAAACATTCGAAATAGAAAGCCACTTTCAACCACTTTCAGCCTCATATCTCCCGCACCCTTATAGCTATCGAGATGTGATCACCCCTATGCACGAATGGAGACTTGGGGCTACCACCACATACAAACACCATTCACGTGCGATGTGTAGTTTTGGCGAAAAAGTGAAATATAGGGACATACATGTCCATTTTTATATATATATATATATATATAGATATAACAAAAAATATATAAACAACAATAATATTTTTTAGAATACAAAGAAAAATTAGATGACTCAATTAAAGATAATAGTTCATTAGCTTTTTGCTGGATGAAAGGTTAATGTTAACTGTATTAATCAGCAATTATCAAGGTTATTTGGTCAAAAATTTCTTATTTTTTATATAAAATATAAAAAATAAGAAATTTTTGACCAAATAATAAACCTAAAAAAATGTTAACTTGTTATAATTTGCTGCTAGATTAAAGATTGACTTCAATTAGTATTTGTTAATAATGACAAATAATTTATTAATATTATATATACATGCACAAGCAAACACAAATGTGCACTCTTACACACACATTCAAAAATAAGCATAACCATTAATTTTGCCTATATCTCAGGCACTACTAAACTTAACATACAATCGTAACATTGTATGTGTATTCTTTAGACAATAAAACAATTGAAAAGCAAAAATTTAATCTAAATTATGTAAAACCAAAAACAATTAAAAAATTACTAAGCATTGTCATAAATCTTTTTGCACAGAAAATGATTAATAAGGTATGCAATTGTCTCCTGCATGCATACATGCTTCACTGTTTATTAGTTCTGTCAAAAACAAAGTCCATTCTTGAACAAGAATATCTTGGAAGTTCCTGGAATGTTCTTGGTGGAAGCTGATGAGATACAACTCATATCCCTATAGCACACATATTTTATGGAATTTAGGTCTACAGATCTTGCTGGCCATTTCATGCAACAAATATCTTCACTGTCAAGAAAGTCATCAACAAGGGCAGTCTTTGTATGCAGACATTATTGTCCATGAAAATGAAATCTGCATCTACAACACTTCAGAAAAGTCTCATATAAGATTTCAAAGTCTTGTCTTTGTATCTTCTTGCAGTTATGACACCTGTTAAAAAATATGGTGTGACCATTAAACATAATGCTACCCCAGCCCAAAATACTACCACCTGAACCTGGTGTCCTTCTCTACTCTACTCTACTCTACTCTCTCTCTCTCGTTTATATGGAGATTGCAGCCTATATCGCTTTTTCTCCGACGTGCGGCGCCACCTTATTTGGTAAAGCGACCCGATCGATGAATATACTGTTCTAGAAGGTATATATGATATTTCGAGGACATGTCGGCCTGTGGCCAATACAGAGGAGACAATGTACGCACAGTTTGTAAATTCAGTCGTAAGTGTTTCAGTAGGTCCGTGCGACTCGTAGTATACTCTGGACACCTTAGCCAGAAATGATCAGTAGTTTCTGCCTCCCCACAGAACAAACAGTTTGGGGACGGGACGATACCACGCGAATAAAGAAAGTCATTGAGTGGGGCTGTACCAGTCCGTAGTTTCGACAGGAGTGTTTCCGCTTGCCGCGATGAAGCGTGGTGATAAGGCCACGGGTAAAAAGGACGGAGATACTCCCTACCCCTGTTCCTATGGACCGCAGCCCAGTGATCCCGTAACGAATTACGTGTGTCCTGCCATACCGACCGATGAATGTCCTTAGGCAACAGCGGGCCCCTCCAGGAACCAGATAAATTCGTTCCTGGAATTCCGATAAGGCTCCTTTCGCTGCCTTATCCGCGTCTTCGTTGAGTGCAATACCGACGTGCCCCGGAGTCCATAACATCACAATAGGCTGAGGAAAGGACGACACAGCCGCCGCAATATCGATGATGATCGCTTCTGAAGTATACTCCACGTTAGCCAATGCCTCTAGCACCGAACGACTGTCTGTACTTAAAATGGTTGGACAAGGGTTTTGGGAACACAGAGCCAACCCCCACAAAACACCAGCAGCTTCCGCCCCGAAGACCCCACACTGAGCGTCCAGATCCCACGTCTCACTCCTCCGCCCCTCCGCTATGAAGACGCCCATCGACGTCCGATTGGGTGACTTCGACCCATCTGTTCCGATTAAAGCCCACCCTTCGCGATAATTGCGCATCCATTCGTCGAATGCCACCCTGTCCTCGTCAGGAATACGAATACTCCCAGTCCTGAACACGTCAATGTTTATCCTCGAGCCCATCTGCTCGACAGTCGGCGGCAGATTCTGTTGACGATAAATGTTCGCAATCGCTATCCCGAGTTTCCGTAAATGAGAGACCGCTCTGATCACGTAAGGTTCCTGGTATCTCCGCCATCTATAGTGATCCAGGCCATGCCGTTTCGAATAAATACTAGAGAGCGAGCTAAAACGGCCCCTCGATATGTGCGTGACTATATGTCTGATCGTCCTTAAGTTAAGACGTGCTTTTAAACCAATGTAATTCGCCTCCGTATACATCGCTAGCAGCGAAGTAGTTAGTGGCACCCCGAGAGCCGCCCTAAGGGCCATGTGGATAGGCTTTTCGATCCGGTTGATGACTGACGGTGGCGCTCCGTCCAGGAGAGGCGCCCCGTATTCCGCCATCGGTAGGAGAACCGTATTGATCAACTGAAGTAGATTTCTCTGACGCGCCCCATTCCGCCGAGAAGCAAAATAAAGGAGATACGAACTCGCTCTTGTTAATTTATTACGAAGGAAACTTTCGTGCTCCCTCCATGTGAACGTCTCATTAAGAAACACCCCCAGAATTCGCATTGACTTGACCTGAGGAATTGTTCCCGACCCTAGCCTTAGGGGAACAGTCGGTCTGTGCCGCTTTGGTGAAAAATCAATGACACCGCTCTTCGGCGCAGAGAATACCATGCTCCACTGGGCCGACCAGTGCTCAATATGATCCAGTGCCCTCTGGATCCGAAACCTAGCCATATCCGCCTGTGTACTCGATCCTATAATGTAAAGATCGTCGGCGTACAGAACGCTCACCACATCCGTTGGGATCACCCGCCAGAGGTCAGCCATGTACAGGGAAAAAAGAAGCGGAGCCAACACGCTCCCCTGCGGTACACCGGAGTTAAACTTATGTGGTCCCGAGAGCACACCCCTCCACTTGACCCTAAACTCCCTATTCACTATAAAGTCACACAACCACCGAAGCGTTTTCCCTGACAACCCGTAGTGGACTAGCTTGGCAATTAATCCGTTCTGATGGACCGTGTCGTACGCACCCTCCAGGTCGAGTGATACCAAATACACCCACTTCTTTTGGGCGCGGGCCACCGAAATAGTGTGGTGGATAAGAATTACCGCGTCTTCCGCCCCTCGATAAGGGAGAAAACCAAAGTGATTTTCATGAAATATATTGGATTCCAACAAGGCCCTCTGAAACCTCTGTAACAGCATTCGTTCAAAGATTTTTGCCACGTTTGATGTGAGCGAGATCGGCCTGTATGCCGCGCACGAAGTCGCCTGTCTCCCCGGTTTTAGGATCGGAAGAATGTATGCCGACCGCCACTCCGCCGGAAGATGGCCAGTGTTCCATATCTTATTCATAAGCTCCAGAAGGGCTTCCCGCCCCGCCCTGGGGAGCGACCGCAATCTGGGCCTGGTGTCCTTCCATGATGTTCATGGGACTGTATTGAATTCTCCACTCTCTCCAGATTCTAATCTGATAAGAATGGAGGTAATGGATGGCTGCCGTCGGTTAGACGAAACCTGGCCATCTTTCTCCATCCATTTCAATCTCCACAAAGAATGTCTTTATCAGAAGGCGGTAAACGTGAATTAGTAAAGTCCA